GGACATCTGTCCAAACTGCAAGAGCACCATGTACAGTGCCTACCATCAGGTCCCAAATTTGAGGTCCCCTAAATCTGCCTCTGCTACCATTCAATGAGACAGAGATTCCTACATTGTGCTCTTCAGGCACAGTGAATTAACTATGCATTGCACCCTGCTTCCCTTCCCACGGCCTTGGAAGAACCCTGCGCAGGCCTGAGTTAAGAGCTCTGTCAAAGCGTTGTATAGACCCTATTAATAACCAGGTTAACTTACCAGTAGCTATGTGGCGCCTGAAACTCTGAAATGAAAGTTCAGTAGACGGCACAATTCCCAAAATCTGTACCAGATGCACATTTGTATGCCCCAAGCGGGGATGCAGTATCCCAAGAGAGAGGGTATTGGTAGAAGTTGGTCATCCAATTACTGTGGATGGTTTTGCCCACAGACAGTGATGCTGGCTGGAAGCTGGGGATCCAACAAATAAGAAGACTTCTGTTGGACCATGCCAAAGGCTCATCTAGACCATCATCCTGTTCTCTAGATGACTATGGGAAGCCTAGAAGCAGGACCTGAGAGCAACATCACCCTCCCCACTGAATACCTGTGTTCTAGAGGCATACCATCACTAACACTAAAACATGGTCCTTGTGGCTAGCATTCATTGATGAGTCTTCAAAGGCCCACCAAAATCAGCGGGGCTTCATTCCTAACATTGCCTGAATTTTGCCCCAAGTTTGATGGTTTTCATGCCCCTCAACTGGGATATCCTGGAATTACAGAAGCCGTCCTGGCTTCTAACCAGATCCTGAGATGTCCTGTTCTGGCTCCTGCAGTAGTTTGACCCTGAAAGATGCACGTTTTGAGGGGGGGGCATGCTGTTTTGCAGTCACCTGGCTCCTATGAGAGCACATCCCCCAAAGTCATGCAACCTGATTTTCTTCTGTGGGATATTGGAGAGCATAGATGTCAACGTTTCCCCTTTTTTTAAGGGATATTCCCTTATTCCGAATAGGATTCCTCACAAGAAAAGGGAAAAGTTGACAGCTATGTTGGAGGGTATAGGTTTTTTAAAGCCATCTGGTAATATTCTAATGTGCAATTGGGAAATGAATGCATCCAGGTGTATTTATTTACTGCAGTTCATTATTTAGATTTCCTGTTCTATCCCAACTCCAAGGTCCGCAGCACAGCTTTGTCTCATTTTATCAACATTTGTTTTGTGAGGAGGCCTCAGCTGAGAGGGCTGAGGTTCCCTTTGGCCACCCAGGGAGCTTCACAACTGCGCACAACTGAGCAGACATCCTTTCATGTAGAGCATATTAATCATTTTGGAGTAGTCGTGGATACCAACGCATTTCCCTCTCCAATCAATAGGTGTCTGATGAATCCAGAGGCTCCATTTCAGAATTTTGCTTTGCTAAGGGTCCAAATTACATGCGACATTAGTAGGGATGTCAGAGAATTCGGACAAAAATGGAAACAGGAACAAAAATTGCTGATGTTGGCTTATTTGGTCCAGGACAAAAATCAATCCAGCAAATATGATTGGTGTCATATGGTCAGAGACTTCCTCACTATGGTACTGGGGTTTTTTCTGTAGCAATTATTTCCATGTTTGCATCATGTATCAGCATATGCAAGTGTTACTCTCAATTCAAACGAGCCCTGTAGCACACCATCTGCATGCAATATGTAATATCAGTAGGTGCAAGTATAACCTCCCTTAGGGCAGGGCAGAGATCCTCAGAACCCAGCAGGGTCTTCATTCTGTTAGAGGCAGACAGCCGTAATTAGAAAGTACCTTCTGTGGAAACTGGAGGTTGTCAGGGGAGCAGAGAGGTCTAAGGTGTCGAGCGAATGCAAATAGCAATAGCAAGCAATTTGAACATGTGGGTCAGAGTTCAGGTGGGGTTTGCTAGAGCAGGATCTGAATCAAAATTTCAGCCTCAAGCGTTCTTGCAGTGCAGAACAAATGCAAAAGTCCAGGATGCAAATGTTGTCAAGGTGTGTTGCACCCCACAAATGGGTCTGATGTAATTAACTGCAAAAGTGTTTTAGGTTAAATATTGTATGTGATTTTTTTCTTCTTCTGGCATACGGTGTATCTGTTTAATATAGCCTTGTAAGATCTGTTTAATACAGCCTTGTAAGACATCACCTTGCCAACAAAGGTCCGCATAGTTAAAGCTATGGTTTTCCCAGTAGTGATGTATGGAAGTGAAAGCTGGACCATATAGAAGGCTGATCACCGAAGAATTGATGCTTTTGAATTATGGTGCTGGAGGAGACTCTGGAGAGTCCCATGGACTGCAAGAAGATCAAACCTATCCATTCTTAAGGAAATCAGCCCTGAGTGCTCACTGGAAGGACAGATCCTGAAGCTGAGGCTCCAATACTTTGGCCACCTCATGAGAAGAGAAGACTCCTGGAAAAGACCCTGATGTTGGGAAAGATGGAGGGCACAAGGAGAAGGGGACGACAGAGGACAAGATGGTTGGACAGTGTTCTCGAAGCTACCAGCATGAGTTTGACCAAACTGTGGGAGGCAGTGGAAGACAGGAGTGCCTGGCGTGCTCTGGTCCATGGGGTCATGAAGAGTCAGACACGACTAAACGACTAAACAACAACAACAACAAAGACCACAGTATTTGCTATCACCTCTCAACCTGTTTTTGGTAGCTTTCCCAAACACATATAAGTCACTTGTAGCATATCTACAGCCTTAGAAAAGAAAACTCCATTCTCATTCCCTTTACATACAAACAAACAAATAACCAACCAACCAACCAACCAACCAACCAACCAACCACTCTTGTCTGTTTACCTTATGGAGAGAGAAGCAAAGATGCCACAAGACTTTGTAAAGTTACAAACCCATGTTTTAAAATGCATGGAAGTGACACGGGGATAGATTGCACCTTGAAGTTGGATTGGCTGGAGGAGATGGCTATCACCTGAACCATAAGAACACAACTTACAAACTGCCTACTCTGAATTGAGAGGCATTTCTAACAGTTAGGCGCCTATGCACTTTATGGTTCCTCCTGAAGCCACAGTGGCAATATGAAGTTCCTATAGGGATGTCTGGCATCACTTCAGACCCTGGGTTCATCTAGCCTGTCTACTGCATCTAGCCTAGCTCACCAAAGTCTCTGCTGGGTGAAGTCCTTTGGGTGAGCATGCCAGTGGGATGAAGCCCCAGATAGAAGCTGGATCACCCCAGAGCCCAGATTACCTGTCTTACAGAAGTCTTTGGTATCACGCCTAGTCCATGTGAAAGCAGATAGAAAAGAAGAGAGAAAAGGTGTGTTTTCATCATTTGATGGTGACTGCAACGGGCTACAGAGCCATCCCATCAACTCAAACACAGAATTTTTTTCAGTGGACTCAGTTGACACATTACATCCCTTTCCTGGAATGAAAGCCACTGAAGGTTTAAGGTATTTCTTATATACACACACATGTACAAGCTTAGCATCAGGTGGACCATCCACAGCAATAACAGTCTAGCTGATGCTGCTCCCCCGTTAAATTTCTAAGGAACCCCCAATGTCATAACACTGGATTCTCACAAAAGAGAAGAGTCCTCTGGCTTTTCAAGGACCAATCTGTTGACGCATTGATGACATCACCTCCAGCCAATGGAGGAATAAAAGTCACCAATGTCTAGGCAACACGATGACCATGTACGCACACAATAGACAATCTTTATAGAATTCCTTCAAACCATAACAAGTACAAAACGAAATCTTTAGTCTCAAAGTCTCTGAAAATCTTTAAATGAAGCGAGGTGCCAGACTTTGTATGACGAAAGACAAGCTGTGAAGCTTTGTGTATTCAGCAAATATGATGCCCAACACTGAACAGTGATTCCGGATATTGACTACTGTTTCGTAGAATTCTTCGTCAGCATGGTGGGAGGAGGTAGAATTGCTTCATAAACCCATCTATTTCGAAGGAATGTATGTAAATGAAAATATCAAATGCTGTGGAACAGTGCTCATGTAATAATGTCACTGCTCATGCCTCCTTCCAGAAGGATTTCCAACTGTTAGCTCCAAGGGTAACCGATTGCCAGTGCTTGGCCATCTCTTTAATTACACCAAGGCTCCTCCCCACCAGCAAAAGGAGATCTGCCAAGCTATGCTTCTCCAACTGGTTTGACGTCTTCAGCAGTCTCTCTTCACAACTGGAATCTCAGAGTTGGGGGAGAGACCCCGCGAGTCATTTAGCCCAATCCACCCTTCCCATTTGGGATGCGGGTGGCGCTGTGGGTTAAACCACAGAGTCTAAGACTTGCCGATCAGAAGGTCGGCGGTTCGAATCCCCGCGATGGGATGAGCTCCCGTTGCTCGGTCCCTGCTCCTGCCAACCTAGCAGTTCGAAAGCACGTCAAAGTGCAAGTAGATAAATAGGTACCGCTCCGACAAGAAGGTAAACGGCGTTTCCGTGCACTGCTCTGGTTCGCCAGAAGCTGCTTAGTCATGCTGGCCATGTGACCCAGAAGCTGTACACCAGCTCCCTCGGGCAATAAAGCGAGATGAGCGCCGCAACCCCAGAGTCAGTCACGACTGGACCTAATGGTCAGGGGTCCCTTTACCCTTTACCCCTCCCATTTCTTTACAATATCATTTCCATACTATTAGAACTTCCCTCCAGTGGATGCATCAAAAAAATTCAGAAGCATAGCACTTGACTTTACATCTCCACATAACCTAATAGCTAAACGGGGGTGAACAAAGAAGCGAAAAAGCTTGTAGAAGTTACAGATTGTTTACAAGTTTTTAGAGTTACTAGTTTACTTCAGGTCCCTGTTGCTGATTCCAGCAGGGCTTCTGCAAATGCCCCATCCTTCATCCATGTCTATTTTCGTATGTAAACACTTGCCAGAAAAACACCCTCTGGGCATGCTCAGTAGCGCTGTGTTCCGTTCACCTCGCCGTTGCAGCAGGCAACTGGAAAGTCACATGTCACAACACAGTAAAAAGTACATGGGCAACTATTCTTAGTCGAGGAATGTATACAGTGCCTCATTGCGGTACCTCATGAGCCAACCTTCAGAGAGCCGTGACAGTGCCTTGATACTAAACAAACCCAGAAACCTCCCCCTATGAATCTTTCACCAGCGAAAGAACAATCTCAAGCTCCTTTTTTAAAAAAAACAAAAACAAATTTTAAAAAGTCTTCATATTCATGAGCCTAGCCATGGAAAGTTTCAGCAGAGAATAAACAAGCCAAAGCAGGGAAGGAATAAGGTAAACAGCTCTGCCATGATTTTCACTACAGATGTGAGAGATCTGGGAGATAGTTTTGCCTGCTGTGTGTTTTTGCTCCTGCATTTAGGCCTTAACCGGCCATGCAAAGTATATGGCTTATATATATTGCATTTGTGGGGAAGGACCCCAATTGCTTTGTTTGTGATGCTCGTATGTTGCATGTATGTTGGATTCATGTTGCATTTGTGGGGAATGGTCATAGTTTAATCATACAGCATCTGCTCTGCATTGTAGAAGCTCTCAAGTTCAGCCTCAAGCACCTCCAGGTACAACTTGGACAGAGATCTACCTGAAACTCTGGAAAGCCACCAGCAGTCAATGTAGGCAGTACTGGCCCACGCAATACTAGGATCATAGAACTGATCTAAGGTCTGACTGGGTATAAAACAGCTTCCTCTGTTGCTATTAGAAGGAGGCTGCAGTGATGGTTTGCAAAGTTATCTGCCAGCTATCCTCCTCTCCCTAGGACAGCAGATAACTTATATTATTTACCCCCGCTTCCCCCCACCCCCCAGCACTATAAGCTAAAACAGTGGCTCTTTCTTAAAAAGAGACAAAATGTTGCATCCATTTTTTTTCCAGTGATGTCTTGCTTGTGTACAAATATGTAATGCTGTGGGAGCAGGGGGAAATGTTCCAGCAGACTTTTGCATACACCAAGTAAAGCGGGCAGAATCTACTGCTCTTATTCTTGGTGGATATGAAAGCAAAAGCAACTGGGGAATAAATAAATATATCATTCCCCCCGCCCCCCCACAGATTTCTAGACTCGAGGAGTTTAGTTTGTTATGTTGTGCTGCCAGAACTGCATTCTTTAGGAATGACTAATATTGACATGGGGCTGAGGGGTTTGAGATGGAAGATACTAAACTGTAAGTGCTTCATGGGAATGATAGGCAAACATGCATTTGTTAAGAGATACTTATCATGAAGAAATTGTTTGATTCAGGCTTTGTGCTTGAGCCACTAATTGTCCCTATTGTCTTGTAATGCATGTTTATTTTTTGTATTATTATTATTATTCTACTCTGTCAGAAATACCCCCAGGTAATGTTCTGTGATGTTTCCTTCACCTACTTGGCCTTATACTGGTGAATGAAGCTAGCTTTTCCATTTCTTCTCTAGGTGGACAATGTTTAAACGGACCATTTGACTGTGATCTATCAAGTCAAGGAGGCTGATGAACCACCAATGAGAATTCTTGTTTGGCCAGTGCTGATATCTCTCTGATTCCACTATGGAAGAGAAATGCACACAAGACCACCTCTTCAAAGATCAGGATTTCTCCTCTGAGCTGCTAAAGCAGCTCAATGTTTTACGGAAGAACAGAATCCTAACTGACGTTGTCCTGTGTACGGGTGACACAGAAATCCCTTGCCATAGGAATGTACTTGCCTCAAGCAGCCCCTACTTCAAGGCAATGTTCTGCAACAACTTCAAAGAGAGTGGCCAGGAAAAAGTCAGCCTCAGAGACATCGACTCAAACATTCTTCATTGCATCATTGTCTACGTTTACACAGGAGAGATTCTAATGACTGTGGAGAATATTTTGTATCTAATGGAAACTGCTTCCATGCTCCAGTACATGAAGCTATTTGAGGCCTGCTCAGCCTACCTCCAGGAGCAACTTGCTCCGGATAACTGCCTCAGTCTGATTCGGCTCTCGGAGATCTTGCACTGTGATAAACTCAAGAAGAAAGCCAAAGCAATGGCTCTGAAGTGTTTCCCTGAAGTAGCCATCTCCGAAGACCTGAAAGAACTCTGTGTTTTGGAGTTGATAGACTATCTTGGAGATGATGAGCTTTGTGGAGAGGAGGAACAAGTTTTTGAAGCTCTCATGGTTTGGGTGAGGCATGATCCCCAGGCACGGCAAAGCTATATACAAGACTTGTTCAAGAAAGTAAGGCTTCAGTACGTCCATCCAACATTTTTCTTCCACTTCATTGCCAATGATTCTCTCATTCAGTCGTCCCCAGCATGTAGAAATATCCTGGAACTGGCCCAAAAGCAGATGTTTTCTCTGTATAGCACCAATGCTCCAGATATCAAACCTATGTGGCACGTTCCTCGGCGATATTCATGCCGGGAATTCCTCCTCCTGGTTGGTGGCCGGAAAGACAACCAACAGACGACGAGGGATGTCTTGCTGTACGATGAGAAGACAAACCAGTGGTTGAGCCTTGCCAAATACCCAACACGGCTCTACAAGGCCTCTGTAGTGAGCGTCCACAGTAATGTTTATCTCCTTGGAGGCATTCCCATTGGCAATGGGAAGAACCAAGTCAGCGACAATGTTTATATCTTCTCACTCAAACTTAACCAATGGAGGCTAATGGAGCCCATGTTAGTTCGGCGCTATTCCCACAGGAGCATTGCCTATAAAAACTATATCTTTGCCATTGGGGGCATTGGAGAAAACCAGGAGATCCTAAATTCCATGGAAAGATATGACAGTATCTACAATGTTTGGGAGCACATGGCAAACATGCCAGTTGCCGTTCTTCATCCTGCTGTGTCTTCCAAAGACCAAAGAATCTATCTCTTTGGAGGGGAGGACATGATGCAAAACCCTGTCCGGCTAATACAGGTAACTCCCAATCTTCAACCATCTCACCTTCAAGATGCCAGTTGTCCTCTTTAGAGACAATGTTGAGCATACACAGAGACATGATTTCAGGCTTGTGAGACCATTGGATCTGACCACACGTGGCTGCTCTTATGTTCTCCAAAGTAATGAATGACTTGTGCCCAGACTCAGCTGTCAATAGAAAATTCTATCTGTTACCTTGATGATTTATCATGAATTCCATGCTGTAGTTCAGGAGCGGCCAATACAGTGTCCTCTAGATACTGTAGGAATACAACTCCCATCATCCCCTGACCACTTTGGGTCATGCTTGCTTTAGGAGCTGTTGTCCAACAGAATTTGGAGGGTACCGCTGCTGTAAACACTCAAATGCACTTGCTAAGGAGAAACTGTCTTCTCTAGAAAACTACATGCATATTCATTTCTGTTTACACATGCAATTAATTCATTAATAGGAGTTTAATGAACTTCCACAACGACACTTTGCAAAGTCTTTGTTCTTAAAGAGGCCCACCAAGAAGGCTTGCATCATTTAGCAGCATGTAGTTTAGGGTGTATATTTGTTGATGTGAATATAAGCCTGACATTTTGAATGTCCCAGGCAGGCCAGGCCAACTGCCAATCAAAGGCTCGAGTCCAAAGACTTCAGTGCGGTCCGCAAAACATTGCTAGACATGGCAGGCCATGCAAATTGCACATGTGTCTCAGAAGTCCTCTGGCCACTTTTAGCAAGGCAAACCTGAATCTCAGACATTAGAGGAAGCTCTAATGCATCTTTACCATGCAGAAGGTCTCAGGTTCACTTCCTGGCATCTCCAGGGAAGTCTGGGAACGCCCCCTGTATGAAATCCTGGAGAGAATGTGTAAAGAAATCTGAGTTAGATGAACCAATCATCTGACTCAGTAAAAGGCAGCTTCCTGTTTTTCCGTGTATGGAGAAGGATGTCTCTACCAGCAACAAAATGTAAGCCAGGAGGAGGAGGAGCAAGAGGGAATGCCACCATTGCCACCGTAGCAGGAGGGACAGCAGAGGGAGATGAAGGCAATGGGATCCCCACACAGTGTGATTTGCTCCACATCCCCAATGGAATGGTTCTTCCAAGGACTGTTCAATGTTCAATGGTTGTGGTTGCTGTAAGGGTTGTGAGCAGTCACCCTCCCTTTCAGAAATGCAATCGGGTTGTGCTCTTTTTACATCTAATCCCAGTAATCTCATTTATGTGTTGGGTGTTCCAGGTATATCATGTGTCCAGGAACATGTGGTTCCGGATGGAGACCAGAATGGTGAAGAACGTCTGCGCACCAGCAGTTGTGATTGGAGACCGGATTTTTATTGTTGGAGGTAATTTGTTTAAGTGCTCTTACGACTGTTTTCACAACGCAGGTGCTCAAGGATGAGAGCGGGTAACCTAAGGTCCTAAACGATGCTGATGACCACAACGCCCTGGCCATTGGCCCTGCTGGCTGAGGCTGATGGGATTTAGAGTCTGACTGTATCCCACCGCTGGCCCCAACACTGCTCTATTTCTTCTTTACTGCATGCCATTGCGGTGTGCAATTCCTTTCCACAACTGGTCACGCAGCCAAGTCTGTGTGTGGACATTGTGCAGTGCCTTGGAGCTTATTGCTTAAAACCTTCAAGGCAGAAAAGGGGCTATTTCAGTGGTTGGTGCCAAAGTCACTCTCCCTTGGCTTCTGCCATAGTAGAAGTAAAGTCTATCCTCTCCTTATTTTTACAGTCTTCTGTGTCGGGATTATAAACATGCCAAGAAGGAATAAAGCAGAACACGTCATGGAAAAACCAACCCCACACTAGATTTTCCTGCATGCTTCCATAGACTTATGAACTTGATGTTTTTGTCCACGTACAAAAACTAGTTTTATATTCCACCCGTAATTCCATTCAGAGGTAGACCCTAGTTGTTATTAACTGCATGGATCTGAAGATAAGTGGAAGGTAGGAAGTTTATGCAAGGAAAGTTTATGTGTCCTCCTCTCCCTCCCCTGGCAATTGCTTTGCACAAATGTGCATATTAGGGCAAAACTGCAGACAAACGTATGTGCACATTAGGATAAATTTACACTGAAATGCTAATGAATTTAACAACAACAACAATTTATTTATGCCCCGCCCATCTGGCTGAGTTTCCCCAGCCACTCTGGGCGGCTCCCAATCAAGTGTTAAAAACAGTACAGCGTTAAATATTAAAACCTTCCCTGAACAGTGCTGCCTTCAGATGTCTTTTAAAGATAGGATAGCTGCTTATTTCCTTCACATCAGAAGGGAAGGTGTTCCACAGGGAGGGTGCCACTACCGAGAAGGCCCTCTGTCTGGTTCCCTGTAACCTCACTTCTCGCAATGAGGGAACCGCCAGAAGGCCCTCGGCGCTGGATCTCAGTGTCCGGGCTGAACGATGGAGGTGGAGACGCTCCTTCAGGTATACAAAATTGAAAACTACAGTGGTACCTCGGGTTACAGACACTTCAGGTTACAGACACTTCAGGTTAAAGACTCCGCTAACCCAGAAAAAGTACCTCGGGTTAAGAACTTTGCTTCAGGATGAGAACAGAAATTGCGCGGCGGCAGCGACAGCAGGAGGCCCCATTAGCTAAACCCATTACCTCAGGTTAAGAACAGTTTCAGGTTAAGAACAGACCTCCAGAACAAATTAAGTTCTTACCCCGAGGTACCACTGTAGCGTGGAAATGTGGAGAACAGAATTTAAGATTGAGAAACAGGGAGAAACCGGAATTGACAGATTCACCCACCCAAAACTCTGTGTGGTCATTTTGCAGGGGTCCTGTGGTCAGGGGCTGCGGAAGGAAGGGGGTGTGGTGGGCGCAGGCTGCCCCAGGTGTCACCACTGAGGGGGGTGACAAAATGCTGGGTGGCACTCACCACAGGGCCTGCAGCGCACCCAAGCCACACGTCTCTCCTGGGAGTGACACAGTGGCTTTGGCGTGCACAGGCTCAACGCTGCCCCATACGGTCCACCCGCCGCCTCCCCCTCAGCTGTGGGGTGTCTGAGTGGGGGGAGGCAGGCAGACCCTGTGGAGCGTCCTGTCCCGGCTGGCCCCACCCCTTGGTGTAGGGCACATGCGCCGCACCAGGCGCCCGATTGGCTTGCTCCACCACTGCCTGTGGTGCATAGCTTGGACTTCGGCCTTGAGATTCAACCCTAGCTGCCTAACCCTGAGGAAAAAGCCTTTCCGGAGGATTGTGGGTCCCTTCTGAACAATATGGGAATGATAGAGGGGGCTGCTGAAAGAAGGGGAAACCACCCTCTAATCAGTTGTCGGCTGGTCTGATTTTGAACGATTGCCCTCTCTACCCTAGGCCTCCCACACCTTGACTGCCTGAATAAGGCTTTTTTGTGCATGTTTTTTCCTTTATGAAATTTATGTCTGTGTTGGAAAATAAAAACGTATGAAACAGCTTGGTATGAGAGAAAACGAGGAGCTCAAAATGTGAACGCAGCAGAGATGAGAAAAAGAAGATTTTTCAAAAAAATAACGCTTTCAAATGTATTTATTCTGAATCTTTGTGCCAATAATTCAACTGACAAGCTTAAGCCGTAAGCTTTGGGGGGGGGGTTACTTAACAAAGTACACAAACATTTCATCTAATTTCAAACATAATTCATTCTCTTTTAAAGTGGAGAGATTTACTACCGATAAGTTTTCATTTACCAAGTAAGTATGCCATAACATCATCCAGTTGTTCTTGGCTTATCAGCAGCTGGAACTGAAAAATCACAATGATAACAAACACATTCTTTAAATGGGGGGGGGGGAGCCAGTATATTTCAAGTCTTCATTGCACAATACACATCAAACAAAGTTGGGTTCATTGGCTCAAGTAATGGGATTCTTGCTTTTAATTAAATGGTGCTTTCTTTTTTGATGTTATCGCCTACTGCCGTTGTGTCCAAACCTACATTGGTTCTGAGTTGAACCACTAAGTGATAAAACATAGTTGTTTGAAAGGAGAACAATATAGCAAAAAGAGAGCTTTCCAAAGCTCGTTTGCAAGTCCTCAGAACTGAGCTGTCTAGCAACTCAGATTTACCAACAACACCTTAATATTTATTAGATTTCTGTGATCGTCAGGGTAGGAAAGGGAAGTTCCTCCATGCTTTTGCCTACTTCCTGCTCCCAAAAAAACCACAACCTTACAAGCTGTGACGATTTGCTATGCAGTAGGCAAAAACCAAATGGCAATCTGCCAAATGGACAAAATTTCTACCAGGCCCCTGCCCCAAAAGCAGGCCACCCCATGTCAAACGCAACAGCCCTAAATTAGGGAGGGTGGGCGGGTGATCCAATGCACGCAGCAAAAGAGACTGGAAAAATCTGCGTGCCAAGAATATATAACCTTTGGGCCAACCCTCTAAATGGTAACATCAAAATCTCCCCAACAACCCAAATTGGCCCAATCACAGTCATGGCCATCCAAATGGTCCCGCCCAGTAACCAAGAGGGGGTGTCCTGTTAGACCCCACTGCAACACGTGCTCTCCATGAAGGAGAACACGCTTTGCCATCTCATCAACCATTCTTCCTTTGAGGGCATTCTCTCCTTCCATTTCCGTGCACAGAGAATCCTTGCCACTAACAGCGTATTAAATGTCTGGCGTGCATGTGACCATAGTCAAAAGGGACAGAGCTATTCACACAAATGTTTTGCCACGTGGAGCAGCTCTGACAGCGCTGCAGTATCTGTGCCACAAGCGTGTTCCAGGCCTGCGTTTCAAATATTTTGGAATTAACAATCACCAGCACTTCTAACTCTGAAACCCCTTCTTTACGCATTCGATGCAAAGGATTTTTGCAAAATTCATAATTGTCTGGTGTGTTTCTCTCTCTTCCCCCCCCCTCCAGGGTACACCAGACGAGTGATTGCTTATGATACCAAGGCTAATAAATTTGTGAAATGTGCAGACATGAAGGACAGGCGGATGCATCATGGCGCTGCGGCAATAAATGAGAAGCTGTATCTGACCGGTGGTCGCTGCCTTACCTTTGACAATGAAATCAAAGACTCCGATTCGCTCGAGTGCTACGACCCCAAGACAGACACCTGGGCTTCAAAGGGGCACCTGCCCCACAGACTCTTTGACCATGGGTGTCTGGCGCTCCAATGTGTGCCTTATGCCAATCTCTTGTGAGAGGAGGGCTGAGGGGAAATGGCCATTGTCCTCTTCAACTTGAAAGGCCCATGTTGCTCTCTGCATAGAGAAGGCTGGTAGACTCTTGCCAGGAAAACCACCAAAACGGACAAACAAATAAGGTGGAGACCTTAGGGTTTCAGTTCCTGTTTTGGACTCCCATTCCCCACTATATCTTGAGGTAAAAGTGACATAGTGGCAGATTTTGAGTGTGATGAAATGTCTGTTGTGCATAATGTTCGGCGCTTCTTGTGGGTGGGTGGTTGGTTTACCATGAGGGATATAATTTGGATTTTTTTGCCTAAAACACCAGAATGTCCCATCTCCTCTTTCCTGCCCTCTGAGGGACTTTCCTCACAACCTCAACGGGCCCTTGAGGGAAGTTGTGACGCAGATCAAGATCAAGCATTGGCTTCTAACAGGTCTTCCAAGCAACCCCATGCAGACAACAGTGACTGTTGATTCTTTTTTAATGGTTTTCATGTGTATATCTAAAGTGTTCACTGTTCCTGTTTTCTTAGAAGCTGTGTCTCTTGACAATTAAAGAATCTGTCCAATTCTATGGTGCTTCATAAAAGCCTCTGGGCATAGCATGGCGGGGGGCATCCGAGAGGCATCCGGGGCAATTGCCCTGGACAAAAAAAGTATTAGGGACTCGCCTCTTCAGTTGCCATCCCAACTGGAGGCCCTTTCTATCCTACCTGCCCAGCTCACCTGAGCAGCATGCCAAGCAGGAGTTGAGAGAGGGAGGGCACTTACATCCATTGGCCATGCAGCGTCCCCCATCCATGGGGGAGGCAGGTGGACAGCGAGAGTCGTGGCAATGCCCCAGCCTCAGGAGGCGGGCATACACATTCAACCACTGCACCACAGCTCTGTCTTGCAGCAGCAGTGCCACATGGAGGTGCCAGTTAGGGGCGCAATACTTGCCTTGCCCTTCTTTAGTTAGTATACCTATCTATAGTAACAGTATAGTACCTTGCTGAAGTGTAGATGGGTGTGTGATAACAGCAAGAACCTTTATTGAACTCCAGTCATACCTCATGTTATGTCCGCTTCATGTTACGTACTTTCAGGTTACATCCCGCGGCGACCCGGAAGTACCAGAAAGGGTTACTTCCGGGTTTCGCTGCTCACGCATGTCCAGAAGTGCAAAATGACGTTACACGCATGCGCAGAAGTGGCGAATCGCAACCCGCTCATTTCATGTTGTGAATGGGCCTCTGGAACGGATCCCGTTCTCAACCAGAGGTACCACTGTACATAACTGGGAAACAGGGGGAAAGCAACTGCTTATATGCATTCCTGAAAGCCTGGGCCACTCCCACACCCTGTGTGATTGGCTGTCTAAACTTCCAAGCTGCGAATCACAACTCAGAGTTCAAGGGCCAATGGCAGAGGCCCAAATCCTAAAATGTTCTGTGATTGGATGTCATGTATCGAATCAGAGCACAGGGGCTCAGAATCCTTAGTCCAGGCTCAGTCTCAGGCAAACACAAACCAATGAATACATAACACTTGCTATGCATAAAGCTCAGCCTTTACCATGAAGAACATGAGAGAGAAGAGAGAGAGAGATGGGTTGAAATTACCGTATTTTTCGCTCTATAAGACGCACCAGACCACAAGACGCACCTAGTTTTTGGAGGAGGAAAACAAGAAAAAAAATATTCTGAATCTCAGAAGCCAGAACATCAAGAGGGATCACTGCGCAGTGAAAGCAGCAATCCCTCTTGCTTTCGGGCTTCTGGGATAGCTGCGCAGCCTGCATTCGCTCCATAAGACACACACACATTTCCCCTTACTTTTTAGGAGGGAAAAAGTGAGTCTTATAGAGCAAAAAATACAGTAAATGGTTTACTGATACTTGTGAATAGTTTAATTGTGAATATATTGCTGTTTGTTTTTAAAAAATTATTGTACATCACCTTGGGAGGGTATTTTTATTTCTATTTTAAAAGTCAACCAATAAGTTCCTTAAAATAATAATAATAATAATAATAATAATAATAATAATAGGGGACCTACTTTGCATTCTAGCATGCCTCTTCCCAAACCAAAGGCAAGATTTCTGAAAACACTACTTTGTCTGCCGTATTTATTTATTCTGCAATCATTTCTTCACTTATTGAAAAGCCAGGTTGGTGTTCGTAAAGATAGGCGTGAGGACAAGCAGGGAAAGAGACCACTGACAGGTTGCAATTCTGTGCCCATTTAATTTCTGGGAATAAGTTCCACTGCCTCTCGCATGGACTAACATAGGCAGAAGAAGCTGTGCAAACTTTGTTCTGTGGGAAGGCAGTGCTTGGGAAACTGCCCAGGCAAATGACAGGCGAGGAAACCTTGCCAGCAGTTTGAGGCTAACCGCCTCTGTCCTTTGATTCATATACAGGCCAAGGCCAGGGCCAGAACTTGTGGAAAGCCATTAAAGGTAAAGCAAAAAAAGAAGGTTCTGGGGAAAGATGCTCAAAATATGAGAATAAGGTGGGCTAGAATCCTACACTAGAGTAGACCGTGGGCATCACTGGTGAATGGGTGCTGTGAGGGATCTTGTCAATATCCAGTAACACTAGGGAAGGGGCAGAAAGGTAACTCTGTTCACATTTAAAAGCAAACCTCTGCACTTCCTGAAACTACATGAACTGAAAAACAGCCATCCTTTGAAATTTGCACCCTTTGAAATTTGCACTTTGAAATCTGAAAGTTTTGCAATGCAATTCTCCAGCCCAGTAATGTATAACAAAAAACTAGGGTAAAACATGCACCAAAATTCATATTTTGGTGAATGTTACATACAAAAATGCATTATTTTGGAGGGAGAAATGCTTTGCAAAAATGTGCATTTTAGGAGGGAGAAATGCTTTGCAAAAATGTGCATTTTAGGCAAGAAATGCATACAAAAATGGACATATTGGGCACTAAAATGCTGTTTGTTTGTTTGCTTTAAATGCAAACTGATGCAGAGAACTGAACTTAAGGCTGGACAAATGAGAAACCAAGAGAAACCAAAACTAGCAGATTCGCCCATTACTAGTACCTACCTAGTGGGCGCTTGGGGGTGGGGGGGCAGGGAAGCGGTGGACTTAATCAGGCCAGCTTGGGTGCTGAATTAGACCGCCTCTCCCTTAGCCACCTCCACTGAGTGGGAAGAAACAGGGTGGGGGAGAGAAACACGGCTGCTTTGTGTTGTTATGACACATGTCTACAGGGCCCTGAAAACATTTAAAAGCACAGCGAGTGTTATGCTGTTGGGTATGGGAATATTTACCAGCCGAGGCTCAAGTTCCAAGAGGCTAAGTAACAAAACATCATGGGATACAGATGCTGCAATCTGAAGGAAATAAGAGCATCAGTCTTAACCCCGCAAGCCAGGATGAGCCAAGTGTAGCCAAGGAATCAAGGGCAACATCCACAGTGAAATGTGTTTAGTTTAGATGGATGGGGAAGAAGAAAAAGAAGAGGAGGAGGAGGAGGAGTTTGGACTTGATATCCCGCTTTATCACTACCCTAAGGAGTCTCAAAGCGGCTAACAGTCTCCTTTCCCTTCCTCTTCCACAACAAACACTCTGTGAGGTGAGTGAGGCTGAGAGACTTCAGAGAAGTGTGACTGGCCCAAGGTCACCCAGCAGCTGCATGTGGAGGAACGGGGAAGCGAACCTGGTTCACCAGATTACAAGTCCACCGCTCTTAACCACTACACCACGCTATGCCTGCTACTTGAATTTGTCCCTTTGTCACACTCTAGCACAGTGTTTCTCAAACTTGGGTCCCCAGCGCCTGTTGGTCATGTGGTCTGACCCTCTTCAATGCAGGAATCTCAACAAAAGCATCCATGACAGATGACCAGCCAACCTCTGCTTAAAAACCTCCAAGGAAGGAGAGTCCACAACCTCCTGAGGTTGAAGCCCTGACCAGGAGCCCTTGTGTTAGGAGTATGCTGCAACATTTTGTTGTTTGCTGTGTTCCAGTGGGACAGTAGCTAACAGCTGATATCAAAAAGTCTTGGCGCTTTGGCCAGGGGTCAGGTGGCAAAGCCTGGGTGGGTGCAAGTATGTTGGGAAACTGTGTACGTGCAGCTACTCACACAGAGTCAATTAAGGTTTGGCAGACAGCCAGAAGGCAATCTGAAGGAGTAAGTCTGCCTGGTGATAACAGAGACATGGAGACCTCTCCCTGATTGGTCAAGCTCTCTCAAGGGAGTGATAACTAATGGCCTACTAATTGGAATGTGTTAGTTCGGAGTTCGTGAGTTCAGTGGTTCAGTGGTTCAGTGTGTCAGTGAGTGTAGGGGTTGTGAGTCGTGTCAGAGAGAGCTAGACAAAGATCCGTGTTCTGTTCCTGTAAATAGTCCACTGTATATAATAAACACCTAACTACAAGTTCCTGGTTCCTGCTTCTTCTATCCTGTCTGCAGCCAAGTCGCCAATTGCTTCCATGGATTCTGCGTTGACTCTGCTAGGTCTGGCTATGGTCCTGCAACTAGTCAGAAAGTTGTGAAACACCAAATAGGTTTTACCAATAAAGTAGGCAAGCAAAAGACCAATTCTTTGTTAGAATTTTACTTTTCCTGAACTAAGCATCAATTTTTTAGAATCATAGAATTGGAAGGGACCCTGAGGATCATCTAGTCCAACCCCCACAATGCAGGAATATGCAGCTGTCCCTTACGAGGATTGAAACTGCAACCTTGGCATTATCAGCACCACGCTCTAGCCAACTGAGCTATATTTGCAGCAAAAGTGCCAAGGGATGGAATGTACTTTAATGACTGAAGTCTGACAGCTGAAATGCCCTTACCAAGAGCCAGATCACGTGCATGACAAAGTTATGAGGACAACCTATTACTATTATTAATTTTATTTATTGCATTTAAATCCCACCTTCCCCTCAAAAAACAGCTCAGGGTGGCGTACGTGGTTCTCCCCATTCTCATTTAATCTCCACAACAACCCTTTGAGGTAGGTTAGGCTGAGAGTGAGTGACTAGCTCAAAGTCACCCATTGAGCTTCATGGCTGAGTGGGGACTTGAACCTGGTGTCCCAGGCCCTAGTCTGACACTTTAACCACTATGCAACACCACCGTGCCTAACATAGAAACAAAGGAAGCCCCCCATTGGTCCATCTAGCTCAGTGTTTCCCAAACTTGGGTCTCCAGCTGGTTTTGGACAACAGTTCCCATCATCCCTGACCACTGGTCCTGCTAACTAGGGATGATGGGAGTTGTAGTCCAAAAACAGCTGGAGACCCAGGTTTGGGAAACACTGATCTAGTTCATTGTGGGCTACATTAATCGGCAGCAGCTCTCCAGGGTTCCAGAAAGGGGACTTTTCTCCTTTCTACTCCTACTTGGAGATGCTGAGAATGAAACCTGGGACTTTCTTCAGGCTCAAGAGTTGCTCTACCACTGATCTACAGCCCTTTGCCTAAAGTTCAAGTCTCCAGCTTGCTTTGTTAAAGTGGCCAAAGGACCCCTGAGACACAATTTGCAGCTCCCCCCTCATCAATGTTTTGCAGACCACACAGATGTTTCAGAACTCAGCCTTTGATTGGCAGTTGGGCTGGCCTGACCGGGGCATTCAAAATGTCATGCTTATGTTCACAGCAATAAATATAAACCCTGCGAGATGATGCAAGCCATCTTGGCGGGCCTCTCGAAGAATAAAGACTTGGCAATGTGTCGCCGGGGGCAGTTGGTTAGGCTATTAATAATAAATTAATTGCACGCGTAAACACGGAGGAATATGCATGTGGTTTTCTGGCCAGCTTAGCAAGTGCATTTGGGTGTCTTCAAGCAAGAGTAGCCATCACTGTAACCTCCAATTGTTGTTGAACTACAACTCCCATCAGCCCCAGTTAGCGTGGGCGATTGTCAGGGCTTAGGGGAATTGTAGTCCAAAAACACCAGGCAAAACATTCAAAGAAACCTCTTCTCTTGCTCCACTGTGATGTCTACGTGACCTGTGATTCATGAATGCAATGCTGCAACTTTTCCTAAAGCAAATGGCAGTTCTGAGTATCTCTTTAACTAACCCAGTGCTTCACAGACTATCTGACATGGTGGACCAGCGATTTTGCCAGGGACCATAACTTTGGTCCCTAAAGTGTCCCAACCAATCTGGGCTACGGTGGAGTCACCACAGACTTGAAGCCGATAGTTCGCGGCAGTGGTGTAGCATGGGTTGCTAGCACCCGGAGATGCACGGGGGGACGGACGGACAGAGTACACATGCGCATTCAACTGCCTAATGGTGTTGCATCACCCAGGAGATCATAGCTGCAAAGATAAGAAAAGAAGAGTTGTTCTGTTGTCTGGTTCGCATGGAGAAGCCGTTTTCAATGGAGCCAAGCAGCTGTATTGAGGCAGCACCAAGTGCCGAAATTTTGCACCCCTGACAATTTTGCACCCGGGGCAACTGCTTCTGTGCCCCGCCAGCTACACCACTGGCTCATGGTCCAGCACCAGTCTGCATACCAGCACTTTGCTTTAACCTGTTTTATGCTTCTGTTTATCGGACGGTTCTACTCGCTAGCTGTTGGCTGCCACAGTTTTTTAGGCCTCTGTCTGGGTGAAGCATAACATCCTCAGTCAATAGTAATTAACGGGAACAGTTTCCTATGCAACCCGCAGTTTCTGGAATTAAACCGATTTGTTTATATGTGCAGGATCAGAGCAGTGCAGGAGACATCACATGCCTCTCATGTGACTCTGAGAGATTGTGCAGGATGGAGGGGACCAGTGGGGAGGGAAGGTGACAGATCCCTCGCATGTAGTTACAGCGATGAAGAAAGACATTGCACAGGGAGGAATGGAAAATGTTATGAAGCGCAGTTGGACTTACAGCAACAGGTGCCCTTGTTGCCCACGTCCCCGGTCAAACTCACAGGAGAGAATATCTGAGTCTCTTGAGCTGGGTGATCATGTCAGTTCATGGGAAGCGTGCTTCAATCCGGAATGTAAACAGCTTGGGAAACGATCTGCTCTTGGAAATAACTTTGACAGTAAATCACATCGTCAGCCTTTCTCTCTGGCACTCCTGGAAGGAGCTCAGTACTCGTAATTCCAGTGTAGAGGACACAATGGTGCACAGCTTCCAGCAAGGAGCAGAGGGACCAGGAATCTCATTCGCTTCTCTTTCCCTAAAGCAGTGAAGCATCAGGGACTAACTAGATGAATGCAATTAACTTGCATTTTTTTGGTTAGGTAAATAAGAAAATCTGGGGAGGCGGGAAGCTTAGCGGGCTTGAGACCATGAAGGATGGGAAGTTTCACCCTCCCCTCCCTGCCCCCATAAAAAAAACAACTCCTCTCCAAAGCTTCTATTTGCATTTTAAGAAACTCCACCAGTACCAATGGAGGGTTTTTTTATGCAAATAGCAGCTTCGGAGAGGTGATTTTTTTTTTTTTTTGCATAGCAGGGAAAGAAAGAGTTAAGCTTCCCTACCGACCTCTCCAGCTTTCCCTCGGACGCTATTTGCATGACAAAAAGAGTGCAACATAATTAAAAAGGTAAAGGGACCCCTGACCATTAGGTCCAGTCGTGACTGACTCTGGGGTTGCGGCGCTCATCTCGCTTTATTGGCCGAGGGAGCCGGCGTACAGCTTCCGGGTCATGTGGCCAGCATGACTAAGCTGCTTCTGGCGAACCAGAGCAGCACATGGAAACGCTGTTTACCTTCCTGCCGGAGCGGTACCTATTTATCAACTTGCACTTTGACGTGCTTTCGAACTGCTAGGTTGGCAGGAGCAGGGACTGAGCAGCGGGAGCTCACCCCGTCGTGGGGATTCGAACCGCTGACCTTCTGATCAGCAAGTCCTAGGCTCTGTGGTTACCGCACAGCACCACCCGCGTCCCTGAAACTTAATTACATTAGTGTAACTAATGTCACATTTAGCTTGGTCCCCAGGGGTGGCCAGGAGCAGCTCACTCAGTGGAGTAGAGCAACAGAAACAGCCTCTCAGATCGGATCTGCCAGTGTGTTCATGTAGCCTTGACCGACTGCACACCTGCTTTGCCCCTCCTTCTCCCAGTATGCAAGTTCTGCCTTCAAGTTTCCTATAGGCATCTGGTTGGCCACTGCAGAAAAGAAAGTGCTAGACTGGAGAAGCTTTTAATCCAACAGGGTTGCTCTTCTGTTCTTACGCTGTTCCAGGGAAACAGATAAGGCTGAGGCACTGTTAGTGGGTGATCTGCCAGAACCAGGCTCTTGGCAGGGTTACACACACTCTCTGAAGTAGCAGGTACACAGCTTGGGGGTACTTCTGGCTGTTGCTTGAGGCTCAAGTGGTCTTGGTGGCATGGCATATTTTCCATCTGCTTCAGCTTGTGACCCAGCTGAGCCCCTATCTGGATAGCCTAACCACTGCTATCTATGGTCTGGTAACCTCTAGATTAAATTAGGTAAAGGTTAAGGGACCCCTGACCTTTAGGTCCAGTCACAGACAACTCTGGGGTTGCGGTGCTCATCTCGCTTTACTGGCTGAGGGAGCCAGCGTACAGCTTCCGGGTCATGTGGCCAGCATGACTAAGCCACTTCTGGCGAACCAGAGCAGCGCACGGAAACGCCATTTACCTTCCCGCCGGAGCGGTACCTATTTATCTACTTGCACTTTGACGTGCTTTTGAACTGCTAGGTGGGCAGGAGCAGGGACCGAGCAATGGGAGCTCACCCCGTCACGGGGATTTGAACCGCCAACCTTCTGATCAGCAAGCCCTAGGTTCTGTGGTTTAACCCACAGCGCCACCCACGTCCCTGTCTAGGTTAGATTACTTCAATACATTAGACATGGGGCTGCCTCCAAAGATGGTTCAGAAACTTCAGCCGGTGCAGAATTCGGCGGCCAGGTTGCTCATCAGAGCAAGAGAGTTGGAACATAATTCCAGCCCGACTGCACCGGCTGCCATTTAGTATCAAGGCCCAATTCAAAGGGCTGGTTTTTACCTATAAAACCTTAAATGCCTCAAAGAGCGCCTCTCCTTATATGAATGAACTTGGACCCTTGTGATCATCCATCTATGATAATAATAATTTTTTATTTATACCCTGCCCTCTTCAGCCAGAGCCGGGCTCAGGGTGGCTAACACCAGTAAAATTACAATAAAAACATAATGGGGGGGAGAGAAAAGAAAAAGAAAAAAACAATTTAAAATACGGCTTAAAATACAGTTTAAAATGCAGCCTCCTTTTAAAAGTAGCCCATAGATCAAAACGATAAGGGGAGGGAAAACATAAGGGTCAGACTGAGTCCAAACCAAAGGCCAGGTGGAACAGCTCTGTCTTGCAGGCCCTGCGAGAAAATGTCAAGTCCTGCAGGGCCCTAGTCTCTTGTGACAGAGCGTTCCACCAAGTCGGGGCCAGTACTGAAAAGGCCCTGGCCCTAGTTGAGACCAACCTAACCACCTTGTGACTTGGGACCTCCCAAGTATTGTCATTTGTGGACCTTAAGGTCCTCCGCGGGGCATACCAGGAGAGGCGGTTCTGCAGCGTCTCCCTAGAGAGGCTTACCTGGTGCCAACATTATATACCTAGGTGCCAGGCAAAAACTTTCCTCTAAAATTATGCCTTTGGCCTTTATCTGTGACCTTTTAGAAGTAGGTATTTAGGTATCAAAATACATAATGTTAATATATTTAAAAAGCTCAACAACTTTGTCCGGATTTTTAGGTTTGGGAATATGGCAACCCTAAGTGTATATATATATATGTGGGTTGTTTTCTTTGGTTGGTTGGTTGG